TTTACGGTTCTCTTTGATTCTCTGTTGGGAGATTAGTGCTAGATTCAGCCCTGTCCTTTGACGTTGTTTCTCTAAGAGCTTTTCTTTTCCGTTGTTCTCGCCTCCACTGCGATCGAGACATGGGGTTTTTCCCTTTATAATTCTCGGATACATGGGCCATCTTCGAAGACTGGAATTCTTTTCGATAGGTAACTGAGGAACCCCTATTCACTTCGAAATTCTTCCATCTTTGTTCATCTTGTCTCTTATCCTCGTTGGGTTTTGTCCACCTACCATCGGTGTTTCCAACAGCGGGTTTGAAACTAGCAGGCCTTGTTTTGGGGCCTCTGATGTGGGGTTCAGAGTTTTTCAGCAAACTGCTTCGTCGATCGAACTCCGACATTCTCCCACTTTGCTTGAGCCTTCGTGTTCCCTCAAGTCTCTGGGCAGCTTTTTTGTCGAAGATTGCGCTGCATCGTGGGCATAACATCAAGCTAGAACCGTTTCCCTGGCATTTGTGAAGAAAATCCACAATTGTTTCCTCTTGCTTCGGGTATGCCTCTTTAGTGATTTCTTCTTGATTGTTCGACTCGCTGTCCCCCTCACCTTCTTGTCGGGTGACTTCCATCATGTTGATCTCAACTTCCTCGGCCAAATTCAAACCCTTTAAGTTTAGACCTAAACTTTCAGTAGCCTGGTCCATTTCGATGAAGTTATCACCCATCTCCTTGGTCACCATCTCCCATTTTGGATTATCCGCTACCCCGTTGGCATTGGTAGTATTCATCTCCTCATCACTGCCTCGATCAAAGCTCATTATGACCTTTGTCATCACAGCATTCTTGACGAAGTCATCAGTAACTTCTATCATGCTTTCTGAGAAGTTGCGGCCTTTAGTGACCTCGATCATGTTGGCTTCTAAAGGCTCTGTGTAGTGAGCGTCCGTCACCTGTAGGGGGTCCGTGTCGACCTTCATTTGGCTGGTGGGTTTCTTCCCAAACTTCAGTCGTCCCTCCTGGATTGCGTTCTGAACAAGATCCCTGAAAAGAAAACATTGAGATGTTTTATGACCCAGAAAGTTATGGTACTTACAAAAACCTCTCTTTTTTCGTTGCTCTAGTGATGGCAATTTAGCGCCAGGTGGCACTATCATTTGTCCATCTTTTACCAACAGATCGAAAATTTCATCACACTTGGTGATGTCGAAGGTATATGTCTTCTTTGGGAATCTATCATTCCTTTCTGATTCGACAACACTCTTCCCCTGTGGGGGTGCTAATACTTTACAAGAATAAGGGGGGGCTTGTTTAAGTTCGGCGAGGTCTACTTCATTTTCGTCGAGATTCAAAGAATCCTCGCATGCCCTTTCGATATTGTCATCAATTTCGACAAAGGCCACTTTCTTGCTCTCGTTAAGCCTAGTTTTCTCGTCTTTCAAACGTTCGAGCTGTCGAACTCTATCGGCCAATTGGGCCATATCTCTTAGGTATTGGGTATCTAACTTCTTGCAATGGAATAATCGAGGCCCCCAGCGGCCATTTCGACCAGTTCGTGTTCCGGCACTTGCGTAAAACACCTGGCCTTGAGTAATCGAAACCTATTGAGGTATTCCTCGATTGGTTCCGAAAACTTACGTTTTACGCTAGCTAGTTCTTTCAAACTAATTTTGGTCTGGCCCATGTAAAACTGCTCGTGAAACAAGCGTTCAAGTTGGGCCCAACTACATATGGTGTTAGGTGCTAGCGTCGTGAACCAAGTGAAAGCATTTTTTGTAAGGGAACTTGGGAAGTATTTTATCCTAAGGCTCTCATCATTTGCTATTTCCCCGGCTTCGATCACATATCGAGCCACATGTTCGACAGTGGATTCCGTCGTATCCCCTAAGAACTTCGTAAATTTTGGTACTTTTGTCCTAGGGGGTAATTCTGTTTGAAGGATGTAGTCTACTATCGGGGATGTAAAGTTTGGTCGAGTAAAACCAGTGTTTACTCCATTTCGAGCCATGATCCTTTCGACCATGGCCGCTAGATTGTTGTCAATGGCTATATTATTGCGTCGAACTTCTTGGACCACATGATCTGCATCCTGGTTTCGGTTTATCACGACCACTCCTTGGTTACCTTCGTCTAGAACATGGACCTGGTTCGTTTGGTTTTCTCTTACCGCCTCAACTACGGGAGGTTCGACTCTAACCTGATTTTCTAAGTGTATTTCCCTTGCGTTTCTTACGTCTTGTCGAGGGACGTTCGCCATTGTGTTTTGATTTCTGGGTACAGGGGGTACTCCCATAAACTCAGCCAACCGCGTCAACTGCAACGTCAATTGTTGGTTGGTTTGGGTGGTGTTATGGATCAATGGCTGAAAGATCTCACCCATAGTTTAGGACAAAGTCTGAACCATTTGCATGTTGCTCTCATCCATCTGTTGCCTCAAGCACGCGACTGAGGTATTGGTCAAGTTGGGGCCTTGCGTCGAATATCCCAGACTCTGGCCCTGGAAACTTCGACCAATGTTCACCCCAGATCCTGATCCTTGCAACGGAGAAGTCACAGGGTTATCTGAAAAGATGGGGGGAGCATTTTGAAGCCCCTGCATCACAGTTGTAGGCATTCCATACGTTGGATTCCTGGGCATCTGTACCAATCGAGGAAGAGGATTTTCCCTAGGCAGGGGGCTTCCTTCTAATGGTGTCTGAGAATTTGACACTTAAGGCCCGATATATTCCAATACTGGTTGAGTATAGGGTCTTATTACAGTCGACCCAACCCCTAATATTGAAGGTGTTGGTACAGGCCTCACCGGGAGCCCTATTTGCTCTCCCATTGATGGTATTGAAGTCGATGCTCCGTCGTTTCTTGTTTCTTCGCTAGAGCCATTTTGTTGGCCATTTGGCTGAACGGGTCCCGTCGCCATATTCCTAGTGTTACGTCTTACTAAACTTTCTTCGTTCGTAGTGGTTATTCTGCCACTTTTTAGTAACATACAATGTATTTTGAAGAAAAGTTGATAAGGCTTATATTTTTTTAGATTCTTATGATCTCAAAACTTTCTTTGTTCAACATTGTCCCACCAGGTGTGCCATTTTGTTTACCGTATTTTTTGGTAAACAACCTCTGGTCTATCAATTTGGTGTCAAATTGACTAACTTGCTGGATTGACCATACGAAATCCTAGGATATGTGCTGAAGGGTGTTTCTATTTGAACCTATCTAGAAATGTGTTTCAACAATACTAAGAAGAAATAACTTAACGAAGAGGGGCATAAATTATCCACTATGTTTAAAAGAAAGAAGGAAGAAGAACTATTAGAGGGGGAAAAGATAAGGGTTTCTTTTTGGGAGAGAAGGACTTAATCGAAGTAGTAATGATGAACAAGAGGAAAAGATGTAACAAATAAATAAAGGTACTTGACAAAAGTAAAGAAACAAAATAACTTCATTGAAAAGATAAAGGATGGTGTGTTTACATCACGTACATTCTCTATAATACTCTCTTTCTCTACACTCGGATACTTTGAGTAATTTTAAGAGTGACTTGTACAACAGTAAATTACAACACACAAGTTCTATGTCTAAAACTCTTATTTATAGTAATAATAGTAACTGCTAATAACCGCTAATAACCTCCTTAGGCCATCTATTCTTGACAAGTGTCAGATCACATGCAGTCCTTTATCCGATGAGAGCCACTTGTCCTTCTTAGTCATAAGAAAATATAACTACTCCCTCCAAGATTCAAATTTTACAAACTCCCTTCGACCCTTCTTCTAAATCTCGGTCGAAGACCATTTCGATTGCTTATGTCGAAGTATTCAATTTCAAGACTTCAATTTCCTAAGTCCTTGGAAGACTTGTAGATCTTTTTAATATGCTGAAAATAGCCTCCAACATGAGTCGTCGAATTGCTGAGCTAACACGTTGTTGATATACAGGCTTGACAAATGGACATTCGCATACATGGTCTCCTATATCATAATATTCTACAATAATAGTAACATAAAAAATAAAAATTTGATAATCTAAAATTAGTAATTGTAATCTAAAAAATATAACTTACCTTGATCATGCGAGACAATAAATGATTCATTGATGTTGTTCTCTTCTGCATCATAACTATTAACCAGACTCATGTCGTCATCAGAAATAGAGTCGTCATCTAATTTTAAATAACATAATTGAATTTGTTCCCATAACTACTTATTTTGTTTTCAAAATCTTAATTTTGAAAAATATTTTGTTTCAAACTTTTTTTTATTATATTTTTTGTTTTGTTTCTTTAGGATAAATATAATTTCATTTTTTAATTTAATAATATAAAATTTATCAACTTACCTGTGTTGTGCTCCATCCTCAAATTATGCACCACTATATACTTGTTTACACAAACATTTTTTTTATCAGGAATTGGATAAAACTGTAAGTTAGTCTTTAATAAAAGATTCTTTTGAAAATAAAAATTTCTTGAATTTAAATATTTATTTATAAAATATTATTTTAAATATTATATTTTTGTTATAATTTATTTTAAATATTCACATTTCTAAAAAAACAATTTGTAGCTATTGAATGTTAAAATTAATTTTTGTTATATTTTTGTTATAATTATTATCCAACTTTAATTAAATTTTAATTTTGAATAATATATTTTTCTGTTATTGAATGTTAAAATTAATTTTGTAATTTATAAAAAATAAGTTAAAAGTATATATATATTTATTTATAAAAAAGTTATTCTGGGGTTTTTGATAAATTAGAGGGCAAAGAAAGAGTACTGTTAACTTAAAAAGTTATTAACCTCTTAAAAAAAATGTTATTTTCAATTTTTAATGAGAAAGCGACAGAAACACACACAAAAAGTTTTGCGTTTACACTTCAAAATCCTCAGGAGGTGCTTTCTTCTTCCACAAAGCACCCCCTGAGATTCACTTTCAAAACCCTATTATATATTTTCAATAATCAAAATCCAATTTCAATTTCCATTTTTCTCTCCTTTTCCGTTTCACTTTCTACTGTCGAATCTCAATGGCTTCCGACGGGTACACCGACAAGAACGCCGTGTTCAGAAAACTCAAAACCAAGTCCGAAAACAAGGTTCGAAATCCTTTCATATATGTATTTTGAACTTTTACGCTTCTGTGATTTCAGATATTCTATTTTGTTGTTTGATTCTCGAGATCGCGTTTCAGATCTGCGATATTTGTGTGAGCGTTCTTTTGATTTTTGAAGTTGTGATGTTTTTTGTTTTGTTTTGTTTCAGTCGTGCTTTGATTGTAATGCGAAGAACCCTACCTGGGCGTCGGTACCTTATGGGATCTTCCTCTGCATTGATTGCTCGGCAGTTCATCGGAGTCTCGGCGTTCACATCAGCTTCGTGAGGTAAGTTATTGTTTGATTTTGTTGAATGATGAATTTGGTTGCTGATTTTGTAAGCTCCAGTGTTTGTGTTAGTTTGCAATTTGATTGTGTAGCTGATTGGTTAGTAACGGTAGTGCTCTGTGCTGTGTTGTGCAATGGCGACGCTTGAATTTGCATGTGGATTTAGAGTAATGCATTATTTTGCCGTTCTTTGTGAGGTTTGTATTAATTTGTCACTTCCATCGGCTCTACCATGTATCTTAAGAGTGTGATTAGTAGCTTTTCTTAATCAAATGGTTATTGCATGCATGATCTATGAAATCATATTGGGTTTTTGCCTCTTGTTATGTGTAACATTCATTCTACATTGGAAAAAGTAGAATGATACTATGCTTGAGAAGCAGTGTAGAGTAAGTAAATGCTGGTTGATATTTATATCCCAAGTTAATTGGGAGCACATGCAGTGGCGGAGATTGGTTGTGGCATGATTTTACTCTTTGCAGCAGGTTTGGAATGCAAGCACCATTGTTTTTTCTGGTAGCCTTTATTTGTTTCCCTTGACCTACTTTATTGAGTTACAGGGGGGTGTTTAGATTGGAAAACTACTGATGCTATAGTTATTTTCTTGTGTTTCTCGAGCTGCAACTTGTGATAGCGACTTTTAATTGAGAAACTGATTAACTAGTTTAAAATAGATGATGTAAACTTGGAACCACCAAATGAATTTTTTAATTATTTAATTGGCTGAGAGTTTTTTACAAGAAAACTCACTTATTGCCACTGCAATCCAACATTTTAGTTTGGTTTTTCAGGGTTTATGTTAGGAAAAAGTTGAGCGGGAGATTTATGCCATTATACCGAGTTAATTTCTGAATCAAAGTGATTCATCAAGCCTCAGTTTATTCACTAAAAATTTAATATCTTCCCCTGTAATGTATCCGGGATTTTGTATTATAGTTAGTTTTTCTTTAAAAAACTTTGTTTTGTATTTAGTTCTTCTATGAATTACATTACCAATTTACAATCAATGGGGAGGAAGTAGTACTTTACTCTGCGTCTTTGTTTTATATTAGTTTTATTATTCCAAGTTATTATATGAATTACATTACTATCAATAGGGAGGAAAAGTAGTACTGTACTTTGTTTTATAGGAGTAGTTAGTTATTCTACGAATTGCATTACAATCAATGGGGAGGAAGTAGTGCTGTACTATAGTAAAATAGAAGTGAGAAGGCAGAAGCAATTTATTTATACTTCATATATATTTTTATATGTAGATCTACGAACTTAGACTCATGGACTCCTGAGCAACTTAAAATGATGAGCTTTGGCGGAAACGGTCGGGCAAATGTTTTCTTTAGACAGCATGGTTGGAACGGCGGTGGTAAGGTAGAGGCAAAGTATACATCCAGAGCTGCAGAGTTGTACAAGCAATTGCTTTCAAAAGAAGTTGCTAAAAGTATGGCTGAGGAGGCTGCCTTGTCTCCATCCCCTGCAGCTTCTTCTCAGTCTGCCCAAGAGGATAATGGACTTCCTGATGTCAGGACAAATGAAGTCCCAATTGAAAAGACTTTGGAGAAGCCAGAAAAGACTGAGAGCACTTCTTCACCTAGAGCTTCATATACTGCAGCTTCAAATAATTTGAAGAAGCCTATTGGAGCCAAAAAAATTACTAAGAGTGGGGGACTCGGAGCCCGTAAGCTCACTAGAAAGGTATGCAAATAGTTATTTTTGATCGCTGATCATTTACAGAAAGTGCCTGTTGGGGGTTACCATCATTTTGTTCTCTATTTTAATTTGGTGATTTGAGTTTTTAACTAGTATTATCATAATCAAATGCAGCCAAGTGATTCTCTCTATGAGCAGAAGCCTGAAGAAGCACCTGCGCCGGTGTCATCATCGACAAACAACAACTTACCTTCTGGGCCACCTCCAACATCTCGGTTTGAGTATACAGAAGATGTCCAAACATCTGAGTTAAATTCTGGAGGTCACGTGTCTGCACCAAAGTCATCTAACTTCTTTTCAGACTTTGGAATGGGTAGTGGCTTTCCAAAGAAATCTGGGCCAAGCTCCTCAAAAGTGCAAGTAAGCCTTATCTTGTAACTCTTGCCTTGGCATAAAATGCGTTGCATAGGTACGGGTACGTACCCAATACCCGGTACGGTTACTTGTACGGAGTATGACATTTTTAGAAAAACTAAGGTCCGGGTACGTTAGTATAATTTTTTAAAAATACAATTATAAAAATAACAAAGGAATTATATTGTTTAAAATAACAACAAAACATTAAAATTAATAAACAATTTACTTATAAATAGTTAATATCTACGCATCTACACAATAACATAAATAAATCACAAGAACGAAGCATGTCATAGATGGGATCTGTAAATTTTAAAATGTAATCAATTTTATCCCAAAATTGATCACTTAAAATTGTTTCTTTCGCAAAAGCAGCATGTTGAACAGCATATCCTCTATATATTGAGACCATTGTTCATTAATTACCATAGACAAGAGACCTTTCTTAATAACTTGAAATCTCGATAAAGTAGTATAGTACCTTTCCTCTAGGTTGAATGTTCCAGATTGCAGAGATTAGTGAGAATAGTAACGACAAAAAGGCTGAGAAGAGAAGGGTTAAGATTTGATTTTTCTTTCACTTTTTTATTTATAAATTGAATAATTAACCTAATTTTTACCCAGTAAAAAAAGCCCAAATTATACCATCCGAAATTTTAAAAAAAAAGTTGGGTACGTGGTACCAAATGTGTACCGATTTGTGTACCAACTTAAAATTTTTTTAAATAAATTGGTATGGCTTCGGTGCGTACCATACGTTTACCGTACGCGTACCGGTACCTTGTACGTACCCAGTACCGGTACTTTACCTAAAATGGAGTACCCCTGCCTCACATGCATAAATTAACTTCTACTGCATGTAGTGAGCTTACATAGTTTATATACGATTCAGTTCTAATTTCGATATATTCATCCAGTTAATGTTTTTAACAATATACAATCCTTGGAGCAAACAAACACAGTGAATGCAATTTTGGGAGAGATTGCTAGCTTATAAGTATTTATTTATGAAAAAGACAATGATTTCATACATGTGTAGAATTACATATTTTCAAAACTTTTGCTCTTCCAAAATGTTAATTCAACACATTATCCTATCTTTATTTTACCTGGGATAACAGTGTAATATCGAAAACTATGTGTTTGCAAGTGCAGTGGATGTGTAATACTATTATATCATCAGTATAGTCTTGGATGGTTTTGCAGTAGGACCTTCATTCTTTAAAGCTACAATAGATGTTGCCACTCATCCGAGTGTTTTTCTCAACAAATTCTTTCAACAGCACAATAATATTTTTTGACCCCACAGTCATGCCTCTTATTTTGTTTCGTTTGTATTTGTATAAGGTTCAGGAAACTGATGAAGCAAGAAAGAAGTTCTCAAATGCTAAGTCTATTTCTTCATCCCAATATTTCGGAGACCAGAGCAAGGCTGATGTGGATGCTCAAGCTACTTTATCAAAGTTTTCAGTATGTGTCCTCTCTTTTAGTAACTCACTGGAACAAAGTGTTAGTATGTATATATATGTAGATGTTCAATACCCTGCAGTGACACTGTATTGCATCACTCTAGTCCTGAATGCAAAAGCGCCACCTTAGTCCCTAAGGAACTAATAATATCATTCAAATTAGTCTTTAGGCACCAGACCTTACAAAGAGTAATATGATTTACATTTGTGATTCATGCATAGTAGTATTTAAATTGGATTTTTTGCATTATCCTATTATTTAAACAACCAAATTTTGCTTGGACTAATTAGGCTGCATGCTCTATACTAAGGTCTATGAAAAATTTAAGGTCTAGTCATTTGTGTTGCTTCGAAGTTAATATTTCATATTGAAGATTAAGTGTGAATGATTTTGTACTCTCAAACCATTGTTTAAATAAAGATTAGTAATTCAGGACTTGTTTTACCAGTCACATTTATTTTCCTTCTGTCCCACTCCGCTGCTTTTTAGTATAGTTTCATAATTTGCTAATTTACTCTTTTTATCAAAATGGGCTGTAGTGTATCAGTTTATGGAACTTAACCCAATGCAGAGCTTGAACTTCCTTTTCTGTCTTCATAACATATCTCTTTGTTTTTGTTGAGATTATTCGTTATAGGCTAGTGTTGGTTTAGTGGGATGAGTGAGAGAAAGGATAAGTTCCAAATTTCATCAAGTGTTTTTTGGCATTTATTTGGTGTAAAGCAAATTAAGTGATGGAATTTCAGTTATACAGAGATATATTGAGGGATTGGGAAGAGCTCTGTTCCGATAGTTTTCTCTTTTCTTTCTTGGATGTTTTTTTGTCTCTTTGTTATGGATAGTTCCTTATGTTGACGGATTGGGAAGAGCTCAAGACTGCAAATTTTCTCTTTTCTTTCTTGGATACTTTTGTGTCTTTGTTATGGAGAGTTCATTATTCTCCCATATCTCTGCAACCAAAAATGGAAAGAAGAGGAGGGACTAGGGTGTTAAATATTATACTTAGTAGCAGCATTAATCCTTTTTTTATTTGCAGGGTTCATCTGCTATATCCAGTGCTGATCTTTTTGGTGACTCGAGAGACAACTCTGTCGATCTTGCTGCTAGTGACCTTATCAATCGAATATCTTTCCAGGTATTCCTTACATTATACTGGATTCAAACATAATATTGTTCATGTTCATTGTTATTTGAACAACAAATATTTTATTTGATTCCCATGTGGATTTTTGGTTGCATGCTGATCCTTTCACTCTCTTATCTTATTTTACAGGCACAACAGGATATTTCTTCCCTTAAAAACATTGCCGGAGAAACTGGGAAAAAGCTCACTTCCTTGGCATCCTCCTTGATGACAGATCTTCAAGACCGAATCCTCTAAAGTTGTATGTTCTGTATTTTAAGATATCCCCTGGTGTTTGCTACTGATACCAGCCGTTTGTGTTTCAAATGTAAAAGAAGAGCTCAATAGATAGACAATTTTTTATGAACAAAAATAAGATACTTTTATATTCAGGTTTGTCATTTAGGCTGGTGCTTTTGATTTTGTATCACATGTACTGTTTTAAAGTTGCTAGTATGTTCTAGATGGTTTTTACAATTTACTTTTTTTTTATTGGTCAATGTTAGTTTGTCGCAAGTTCAAGAATGTTGCTACTATCTTGTATCAATATGGTAAATACTTTCTAGTTTCTACTACTACTACTACTACATGTTTTAACCGGTTTGAATTGCTTTTGTTTTTCTTGATATTTTGAAACAAGTCTTATCCCACTAAATTGTTGCGAATATCAAATTCAAATTCTGCCTTGATCTTTTTAATTGGAAGATTTTAAAGGGTTATGAAAAATTCTTCAATTAATGTTGTGATGATATTCTAAAAATTAGAAATATATTAATGATAAATATTTATTTATCATTTAAACAAAATTATTCTTTTACATACTGTTATAGATCTTTTTATATTTTTAAAATTTTTCTTTTTCTAAACCCCTCTCTCCGCCTCCTTCTTAACTTCCAAATAAAGTCTCAATGAATAAAAAATACAATAAAAATTAGACAAGATGTTTGGATATAATCTTATCAATATTAATATTAAGAATTTAATATTAATATTATAATCACTAATGAAAATGTTTAGTAGACAAAATTTAACACTAACCTCGCTGAAACATTAAAATACCATAGACAACAAACCTAACAATATAGAATTCTATTAAAAAGTGATAATCAATCTAAAAAATATGCAAACAATACATAATTTAAAAGAGATAGATAGAGCGAATTGTATACTGAGTATTTATAGTGGTTCAATGCTTCATTCTCACTTGCATTTAATTCATTCAGAATTTTTGTCTTCCTCCTTATAGGTGTTAGTGCATGAGGTATTTTTGTGAGTAGGGAAAGAGATATAATAAGGAAATAAAGATTTATTAAATTGTTATAAAATAATGATACATACTATAACTATTTATATACACTCAAAATAACAAACTAAATAACAAATCCTAATTGGGTTTGAGCCAACACAACTTGGATTATATCTAAATATTAAATCTAATCAAATCTAATATAATATTTCAACATACCCCCTACAATCCAAGTTGTCAAACCTATGCTAGTTATAATCGATCTGAACTATTTCTAATTTCTTTCTCAAATTCAAGAATCTGACGATCTTCAATCCTTTGGTGAAAATATCGGCCAATTGTGTTTCACTTGAGCACTGTCTAACTTCAAGTTCACCTTGATTTACCTTTTCCCCTTAGAAGTGAAATCTAGCTTCGATATGCTTACTTCTTCCATGCAGAACTGAATTCTTCGCCATATTTATGGCAGACTTCTTGTCGATTTGCAACACAAGAGGTTTCTTCACTTCGACCTCCATTTCTTCAAGTACCGATCTGATCAAAATTGCTTGACATGCAACATAGGATCCTGCTATATATTCAGCTTCACATGATGATAATGCCACCACAGATTGTTTTTTTCGAGCAACAAGAAATTGGGGTACAAATACTTGAAAGAAATATCCAGTAGTGCTTCTTCGATCTTCCTTATCTCTGCACCAGTCAACATCTAAATAACAAGTAACCATAACTTCTTTACTTTCAGAGTCTCGTCGAAATAAAATTCCATAGTTTGTCGATCCTTTTAAGTATCTCAGAATTCTTCTTACAACCTTCGTGTGTGATACTCTTGGTTCACTCATGTATATGCTCACTAATCCAACTAAGAAACATATATCAGGTCGGCTGTTGCACATATATCTTAGAGATCCAACAATCTGTTTGAACAAAGTTGCATCGACTTTGTCTTCCTCTCCATGCTTCTCCAAGATTTGGTTCGATAGGCGAAGATGCAACTGTCAAATTATCCATTCTGAATCTCTTGAGTATCTCTTTGACATACTTTCTTTGACGTAGCACCATGCCTTACTTCGACATTTGAAATTCCATGCCTAGGAAGTATGACAATTTTCTCAGATCCGACATTTCAAATTCCTTCTTCATCAGCTCTTTGAACTTCAACAAGTTCTTTAGGCTATTTCCAATTACTAGCAAATCATCGACATATAAGTAGGTTATTATTATATCTTGTGTCGCTACTTGAACATAGACACCATACTCAGATTTGCATTTTATGAATCCCAATTCAATCAAGTATGAATTAATCTTCTTGTTCCATGTCCTAGGTGCCTGCTTGAGACCATATAGCACTTTGTGCAACTTTTATACTTTATCTTCTTCCTCCTGAATCACAAACCCGGGAGGTTGTGTGACATACACCTCTTCTTTTAAAGGTCCATTCAAAAATGCTGATTTCACATCTAACTGAAATGTTGACCAGCCTTGCTTGCATGCCAAGACCACCACTAGTTGAACAGTTTTCAATCTTGCGACATGTGCAAATACTTCAGAGTAGTCGAGTCCTGTTCTCTAGAGAATTCCTCGAGCTACCAATCTTGCCTTATGCATTGCTATCGACCCATCAACATTGAGCTTCAACTTGAACACCCACTTTACTTTGATAGCATTTCTATGGGTTGACAATTTGACCAACTCCCATGTGTTGTTTCTTTCAATTGCTTGCAAATCTTCGACCATATCAAACTTCCATTGTTTATCTTTGAAGGCTTCGCTATAGTTGATTGGTTCAACATCAGCAAGTAAAGAAAAACAGACTAGTTCCCCATCTATTTTGATTTCATCATCACCAACTACTTCATAGTCTTGAAGTCTTGCTGGACGAGCTCTAGTTCTTTGAGGTCTCTGATTTGTGTAAGTCGTATCCTCTTTGACTTCGACATCATTACTTGCTTCGACGTCTTCTTCGACTGGAGTATCAACAACGTCTTCGACTTCGACATAATTACTTGCTTCGTCGAAATCATAGCTCATCAGTGGCTTCTCAATTGCATTACTAAAATTCCAATCCCACGCAGAATTTTCATTAATCATAATATCTTGACTCATCACAATCTTCTGATTAATTGGATTGAACAATATATATGCTTAAGTTTTATGATATCCTACCAGAATTATAGGTTCACTCTTACCATCAAGCTTCCTTCTCTTAGCATCAGGAATATGCTTGTAGCAAATAGATTCAAACACCTTCAGATGACTCACTGATGGTCGTTTGCCACTCCACACTTCTTCAGGAACCTTGTTCTTCAGCTTCTTGGTAGGGCACCTGTTCAAAATATAAACAGTAGTCGAAACAGCTTCACCCCACAAGGATTTTGGCAAATTCTTATGCTTCAACATGCATCTTGCCATGTCCAATATGGTTCTGTTTTTTCTTTATGCTATTCCAATATGTTGAGGAGTATAAGAAGTAGTTATCTCATGATCAATACCGTGTTCTGCACAAAATGCTTTAAATATCTTAGATGTGTATTCGCCACCTCCATTTGTTCACAAAACTTTAATTTTCTTTTCACCCTGGTTTTCGACAAGTATCTTGAATCTCTTAAAATTTTCAAATACTTCGTTCTTTCGTTTGATCACATAGATCTAGAGCTTTCGACTGTACTCATCAACAAATGAGACGAAATACTTGTTTCCACCAATGATATGCTCTTCAAAAGAACCACATACATCTGAATGTACAACTTCGAGTATGCAGGATGATCTCGTTTGCATAGTCGAAACGAAAGACTTCCTGGACTGCTTTCTGACTAGACAATCTTCACATAGTTTGTCAAGAACCTCAAGACTTAGTATACCAGTTACGATATCGTGAGTGATCAGTTAATTTAGTTACCTAAAGTTTAGATGGACAAACCTCAGATGCCACAACCAACTATTCATATGGTTGACAACTGTTTTCAGACATTGTACCTCAGTTGAATTGATCATGGTATTAAATGTTCTATTCTTTGAAAGAGGAGATTTCAAGACCAAGTTATGCTGAATGTCGAAAAGTTATAAGGCTCCATCTTTCATAACCATTGAGAACCCCTTTTCGACCAGTTATCCAACACTTAGTAGATTGCACTTCATTCCAGGGAAATAAAGTACATCTTTGATTAAGGCTTTTGCTCAATTACTCATTTGAATAACTATGTTACCAGTACCTTCTGCTGGCAACGAGCTATTATCAGCAAGTTTCACCTTACTCTTCTTTGACTCGTCGAAATCTACTAACCATGTCTTTTTACCAATCATGTGATTCGAACTGCCTGAGTCGAGGAACCAGAACTTAGATTCGACATGGTCATCTACAACTGCAGCGATAACCACCATATCATTATAATCATCTGAATCTTGACGTGCAATATTCACTTCTTTATCCTTGCCTTTTTTCGAACCCTTGTCTTTCCTGTACCAACAATGCTTGGCCAAATGACCATACTTTTCACAGTTATAGCACTGCACACCTCTTTTCTCTACTTTGTCTTTCTGATAGGAATTTCCTTCTCCTCTTTTCAAGGATTTAGAAGTTCTATCATCGATCTTATTCTTGTGAGGATTCGACCAAGACTTTTTACCCTGAGTCTAGTCGATTTTTCCTTTGAACTTGTTAGCACCATCATTCTTATCCCACGATTGCGCCTGTAGTGCTTGTATCGAGTCTTGAACTCCTTTCCTTTCGACAATCCTAATCTCACGCACTTCCAATGAACCAACCAAATCTTCTAGTTTTAGTGTTTCAAGATTTTTGGATTCTTGAATAGCTACGATAACATGATCAAAGTGAGAGGTCAACGTACGAATTACCTTCTCAACTATCATCTTATCAATTAGGGTTTCACCATAACCTTTCATGAGATGGACGAGTTTCTGCACCTTTGGCACATAGCCTGCAATCTTTTCATCTTCTCCCATTGACAACAATTCATATTGTTGTTGTAATGTTTGCAACTTAACAACCTTA